AGCGTGACTGAGGGTGGCATCGCAACCTCCCGATCCGCCCTGCTCTGTACATGACGGGGCGGCGCCCCAATTCCCCAATCGGCTCTGCTCTGAGCCTGACCAGGGGCTGCACTTAGGTATTGGGCCTGCCCTCTGCCACCCGGGAGCAGGCCTAAGCCAGCAGGTCGTTATCTCCCGAGGGGTCCCAGACTGTGAGAGGGCACAGGCCGGGCTGGGGGCCCCCCTCTCCCCCACCCCGAGTGCACAAATTTTTGTGCACCGGGCCTCTAGTATATATATAAAAGGCTAATGTGCAAAGTGTCCCCTTGGGAGTTCGACTGGGAGACAGGGAGTTCGATCGCTCACTATGATGTGCACTGACCACCAGGGGGTGGTGCGGAACATGGCAGGCGACCAGCAGCGATGGTGGGGTGCTGAGGGAGCAAGGGAAGGAGGAGGCAGGGAGGTGGGGAGGCAGGGGGAACTGTGTGGTGGCTATGCACAGGTGGCAAGGGAAGGAGGAGGAGGGGAACCTGATTGGCCCTGATCGTTGGCCAGGCCTAGGGACCCTACCTGTGCACAAATTTCGTGCACCAGGCCTATAGTCTTCATATAAAAGTCCAGATTTCTGGGCTCTTTAAAAATTGCAGCATTTGGCAACACTGGGCCCCCTCCCCCCATGGAGGCAATATACTGGCACTATGCAGTGGCCACCCCACTGCACATGGGGTTGCTCCAGGTTGCTCAAGTTTCACCATCCAAACCAAATCTCTGACGTGAGGTCATTATTATTTTTATAACTTCATGATGTCTTTATGGGATGACTGCATGATTTTGTCTAGTACAGACCACAAGAAAAATAAGAACTAGTATTTTTTTGTGTATATGTGGAAGTACAGAATATATGCATATGCCTAATATAAAAAGTGTCAAAGAATAAGCCAGGCATCTCAACTCATTTATTTGCCTAGCTCCTTAAGACACTTAGCAACTTTTTGCACGTAATGAAGGAAGAACTGATGACCTATCCTATATAATAAAAGCCTAATATGCAAATCAACTGAACAGTGGAATGACCAGTCACTGTGATGCGCACTGACCATCAGGGGGCAGATGCAAAATGCAGGAGTTTCCCCCAGCCCACAGACCCCAGGCCAGCCAAGGTGGGTGCCAGTGGGGGGCCCCCTGATCGCCCTGCCAGTTGCCCCACAGATCGGCCCTGATTGCCGGCCAGGTCTAGGGACCCTACCCATGCATGAATTTCATTTCGTGCATTGGGCCTCTAGTAAATGATAATTAAAAATCCTATATAATAAGAGAGGAATTTGCTAATTAGCCGTTACGTCCTGCGGCGTAACGACCAAACGCGTCACGACCAGATCACGGTTCAGGAGGTGGGTGGGCCAGCGAGGTACAAGCGGCTGCGGAGAGCTACAGGAGGGGGCAGGGCAGCAAACTATGTTGGGGGAGGGAGGAAGGGGGCAAGGGGAGCTACAGGAGGGCAGGGCAGCAAGCAAGTGGGAGGCGGAGAGCTACAGGACAGAGCAGGGCAGCAAGCAAGCGGGAGGCGAAGAGCTACAAAAGAGGGCAGGGCAACAACTATGAGGGGGCGGCGGGGGGCAGGGAGGGGAGCTATAGGAGGGTGGCAGCGACCTACTGGCACACGGATTCGTGCGTAGGGTTACTAGTATGTATCATAAAAGACAAAAGCATCTCAATAGAAACTTTTCCAAAATTAATCAGTATCTACTACTATTTTCTTTCTCCATCTCATTCTCTTCTTTGGAATCATTAAAGTCATGTCTGTTACCTCTATATCCCCCTATCTGTATCATCTCTACTCCCTTCCTTCTTTTGGGTGGTGGTGCAGAAGAATGTGATTCAGAAGAGGACCTAAATTTGAACTGTAACCTCCCAGCTTTGGAACTAAGTTATCTACAGTTGGAGTTTCTGCATCCATTTAATCACAATAGCCCATTCTGCAAACAATGGGCTATCAGGTGAGGTAAATTATCTTGAAAAACAATCAGTTTCACAGAAGTTTAGGTGCTTGTTCTTCACCTAAAATTGAAGAAATTCATCATTTTATGTTATTCTCACAAAACCCAAAATGAACTAATAGTCCGGTTCTCAAAAGAAACCTGGTAAGTGGAGATGATAATTTAAAAAAGTCATACACTTGTGTATATGTGAACTGAAACTTACAAGAGCAAAAAGAATCTAAACAATACATACCACTTTCCAAACTCGATACACCTAAAGACTGAGCAGAGAGCAGGGTCAAGCGGTGCTGGGCATCCTGGATATACGCCATTGTGGTCATCGGATACACATTTGCTTGAAGAGGTAACTTGTTCATTGTCATTCTAGGTTGAATCTGTAAGGTCATACAATTATATTTCTTTTAAAAAATTGAGTGATATTTACATAGGACCTTTTAAAAATTAGTATTAACTACAGATGGCTTCTTCCAAAGAGGAAAAGAAACAGCTTCCTTTCTTATTCAAAGTTAGAGCTAATTTAAAACCTGAAACATTCTTCAAAACAATATTAAAAAAATCACAAAATTTTCAGAAAACAATTTTTAAGAGACTTAGAACTTGTCTAGATTTTTAAAATATGCATTCCTATTTAAATTCAGAATAAATATCCTTAACAAAAGTCTTCTAGCTCTCCAATATTTGCATAAAAATTATAAGGGTATTAAGTATTCATTTCTTATCTAAATCTAACATACTGCTTTTGTAATGAATGCTAAGCATAATAGCTCTTTATCTCCTTTCAAGAAATATCTTATAATTCTTCTAAAATCAATTTTAATAAGTATCCCAGACCATCTCATCAAATCCTCTAATATATTACATTGTAACAATCAAATGCATATTTATGGTTATAAACGATTCAATGCATACTCTTCTTGTTTAGTTTCAATGTAGATAGTTCCAAATTCTAATTTTTCTTGGTCTAGTATCTGAATGTGTGAAATACAACCCCAACTTTAGTTTCTGAGAGAGACTGACAGTGCACTAAACCAGTCTGGGGCAAGGAGACTCACTCAAAAATCAGGAGGAGACATCAAACAGAGACTCTGTTACCGGGAAACTTATCCACACCACATAAAATGTCATCTCTTCTTTTAAATTCATAAAAATTTGACATGAAACTAAAGCAAAAAAGTTAACATAATAGTGAACATGTATTGAGAACCCATTAACGCCAGGCACAATGCTGGGAATTTCACAGATAAAACCTTTAATCTCCACAACTCTGCAATGTATCTTTCAGTTTACTGGTTGTACTGAACAGTGCCTTCACAAATTCATGTTCACCCAGAACCTATGAATGTGATTTTATTTTGAAACAGGATCCCTGCTGATATACTCAAGTTGCACTGGATTAGGGTAAGTTCTAATCCATTGATTGGTATTCTTATAAAAAAAGGAAAATCAGGACACAGAAGGACACGTATAGAAACACAAGGAGACAGTATGTGACTGTGGAGGCACAGATTGAAGTGATGTGTTTACAAGGCAAAGTGTACCAAGGGTGGCCTGAACCTACCAGAAGCTAGAAGAAGCAAGGAAGGCTATTTCCCTAGAGCATCTGGAGGGAGGTGGCCCTGCTGACACCTTGATTTAGGACTTCTAGTGTCCCAAACTGTGAGGGAATAATTCCTGTTGTTTTAAGCCATCCAGCTTGGGGTAATTTTTATCGCAGTCTTAAGAAATTCATAAACTAGTAAAGAAACAACTATAAAAAGGTAAAATAAAAAGCTAGCTTGAAAGAATTCTCCATTTCTCCTTTCCAATCCTGATCTTCCCATTCCAAATAACTCATATTATTTTTTAAAATATATATTTTTATTGATTTCAGAGAGGAAAGGAGAGGGAGAGAGAGATAGAAACATCAATGACAAGAGAGAATCACTGATCAGCTACCTCCTGCACACCCCCGACTGGGGACCGAGCCCACAACCCGGGCATGTGCCCCAACCGGGAATTGAAACGTGACCTCCTGGTTCATAGAGAGATGCTCAATCACTGAGCCACACCAGCCAGGCTAACTCATATACTTTTAATAAAAAGGACATTTCAATCTCACAACTGTGTGGCTGTTACCCTCATTCCCCAGCTGCAGGTCTAGATTTCTAGTCTTGCCCAAGTATCAGTCTTTCCAAAGGTTAAAAAAGAGCTTATTTTAAAAGCAGAAATATTAGGCTATAGACTTAAAAATGATATTTTCCTATTTATTCAAATGCTCGATCTTTAAAAAGAAAATTTTTATTCATTTTTACTAACTTTTTTTCATTCCTGTATACACCCACACACATACAAATAATTGCTTCTGAAGATTTTAAGAAAATACTTTCTTTTGTATACAAAGAAATGAATCACTATAAAGTAGGGGCTTCATTTGAAAACCAAACAGCTGTAGTAAAATTAACATGTTAATTCAAAATGTATGTTGCAATTTTTATGCTTTGGAAAAGGTTTAAATTTAACTTTTGCAGGAAATTGTAAAAGAGAAAATTATCACAATTCTGTCCACTCATTCGAATTGAAAATCAGACAAAGTAAAAGCATTTGATGTGAAATTATTTCTATTCATAGCCAGAAATTTCTAAAATGTTAGTCTCAAAAACATGCTAATGTTTTTAATAGTATTATTTCAAAGATATATGTCACACCCATTAACGCTGAGTACAGAGATTTAGGTAATAATCAAAAGAGTTTTATTAAATTAGAGAACTAACAATCTGAAAAATGTTATGAATCAATTTTCTCATTACTATTTCAAGAAAATTTTGATTAAATACACATACATATGCATATATGTATGTGTAATAAGGTACACACCCTCCTCTCCAATAAAGAGAAGGGAAAAGGTTTCCTGAAAGAAAACTTTTTATTAGGTTATATATTTAAAAAAATATATAGAGCCCTAACTGGTTTGGCTCAGTGGATAGAGCGTCAGCCTGCAGACTCAAGGGTCCCAGGTTCGATTCCGGTCAAGGGCATGTACCTTGGTTGCGGGCACATCCCCAGTAGCGGGTGTGCAGGAGGCAGCTGATCGAAGTTTCTCTCTCATTGATGTTTCTAACTATCCCTCTCCCTTCCTCTCTGTAAAAAATCAATAAAATATATTAAAAAAATAAATAAAAATAAAAAAATATATAGAATAAGCTAAATATGCATAGGCCAATTTCTTATGAGAAAAAATATGTAATCCATCAATCCCTAATGATGTTTCCTTTATATTAAATTCATATATACTTTGGCACCATGTTATTTAACATGCATAATTGTCACCAAATCTTCCTTTGAAAAAAATAAATTCTTACAAATAGATGATTTACAAAATACTCTATCAGTTAGTTAGTTGTCATAATTTTGGAAATCTAGTTAATAAAGAACCTACAAGTATCTGTTGAAATGTTTTATTTCAAAAATAATTTGTGACCGTAAGCCTATTTTTGAAAGGATACAAAATTAATTGGCCATTACTATATGTAAAAGTTACGCACGCACATAACCATTACTTAGACATTTAAAAGGAAAATTACCTGGTATCCATTTAGGTCTGTATAAAATCTATTTTGGCTGTTTATGTTAGAAGAAATTCTCATTGCAATCTCACGGTTATATTCTTTTCGGATGTCCACAATATTGGAAACTTCCACAGACTGTCCTTCTATTCCTAGATTTAAAAGAATATACACAATAGAAAGAAATTTATTGCCCACTATTTTTAAATATACTCTCCAGAACTCCTTCCAAAGTTGCATATATTTTCCTGTTTTCTATCTCCTATCTTTACCAACTCTCATATGCTAAACAGTGTCACAATTCACCTTTTCTTTTTTTTAACTATCATGGTAGATAACATTCATTCAGAGGCACATATAACTTAACAGAAAGATGAAGAGGTTGGTGGAGATAAATGCAGATGAAATATAACATGCAAATTATTCTCTAATGAGTTCTAGAGGGGAAAGAGGACATTAAATGAGAAAAGGTCAGCTCCAATCCAGGCTAGTCCACCTCTTGTCTGCACCACTGTTCCCCAATAGAGTCACTCGAGCCTACTTCTTCACCCTTCTCTCCTCACATATTGGAAATTATGAGCGGTGAAATTTATACTCTGTTGGTTCAAGATACCATATCTAGGAAAAGAGACATGATTAATAGCTAAAACTGCTATTTCCATATTACTACTTTAGAGTATAATCTGGAGAGCTCCCCAGAAGTTAAAGCAATTTTAATTGAGTTTGGTATCTCTTAGGACCCCTTGTTTTTTAGTGCTTCATTGTGCCCTTTGTTATACAAAGCAGAGGACAGCTTGAAGAAGTATCAGATGTGTCAGACTTTCTTTTTGTTAAACCTAAAGTGTTTACAAATTTTATCATGCTGCCCTAACTGCTTGTCAGGTCCCCAGTGAAGCCTTGGGTCTATTTCAGAGATGCAGGGAGGAGTTATGAAGAAACACAACACTCTTAATACAGAACTAAGTGTGTGTAAGATATTACAGGATCTTCAAAGAAGGAAAGTGATCAAAAGAAGAAAGACTGACCCTATCTTATTTCATACAGCTGAAGTTTTTTGAGATTCCAAGACACTTACTTGCCTGCAGTTGTTATTCATTACCTGCTTCTCCCTACTCCTCACAGAATCTGCTACTCTGCTGATAGCCAGAACTTGTTAGACAAAGAGGGCTGTGTAAGAAAAAATGAGAAGGGAGCAAGGAAGACTTTTTCTAGGAGCCAAGAAGAATCCCCAGAGCTTATAGAAGGTGACAGGAAATAGTGAACGAAAAGAAATTTGAATCTGTGAGACTTGTGGAAAAGAATGAAATGCAGCTGGTCCAGGCATTATAGATTTATGTGAAAATAAACTGGAAATTATAAAGCATAAATAATGTGGTGAAAATACTAAATGGGCTAAGGATTTTCAGAATGCTTACTGAAATTCTTTTTTTGGTAGATGCTGCTCTTCCAACTCAATAATCTCAGTGAGAGCTAACTTCAGTTCCTTACCATGTTCATAAAGCTATTATGAGTATGGTCTACATGAGTGGGAGGAAGGGGTGCCTTTTCCCCCTGCTTTATGGACACAGTCTGAACCACTAACCTCTGCCAGTTAAATATACATATGTATTTCCTTCTGAGAATTACCAGAAGAATCTGCCAAGACAGCTGACCCAAATATATCTCCACTACTATTGGGAAGTTAAATAAAACCACATAGAGTGATGATAGGATAACAGTATCTTCTTTGAACTCGGAAATGTATTACTGTAAATGCAAATTTCATTTCAGTATGCTTAGATTAGCCATAATATTGTTCAAAAACCAAAGGAATTGCATATTGAATTTTAATAGGCAAGCTTCTGTAAATGAACCAAAAATGCTTCAAACATAAAATGCAGCACTAGGGATGACAGTACTCATGTAGCACTGGGGAAACAGAAGGTGACAAGTAAACTCTAATCTACTGGACACATTCGTAGGGTTTTTAAAACTGTTTTATGTATTCTCCTCTCTAGATTGGATATTCTCTCAGGGGTCAACAGAATACAAAAATGAAATAAAGTCTTGACAAAGAAGAGTATTATTAATTTCAAGTCATGTATCTCTGGAAAAAATTTACGGAAAACACACTTCAGAAAAAAATTAATAATTTCACATCACCTCTAGCAATAACAAATTATTTCTGTTGAGAAAATCATCTTTCTCAAGCTCAGTATTATGCTCAGATCCTGTTGTGGCAACAAATCCTTAAAGCTCCTTTAAAAGGAGCATCTATATCCATTCAAAATTCAGCAAGACATTAATTTAAATTCTATGCCCGAAAAGACTTTTAAAATAAGATCAAACTTATTATATTTATGTAAATAAACCAAATAAAACCTATCATAGTAATAAAAGCAAGGAGGTACCCCTGAGTTCTCAAAGGTAATTTATTATTATTATTAGTTTTTAAATATGTGTGAGGGAGAGAGAGGGTTGTCAACTTTTCTTATTGTGTCAAGAATTCCCTAAAGAGTACGTACCATGCCATTCCCAAAGCAGATCAGAGGACTGAGGGGAGAACTCCCTGGGAAGCAGGGGTACAGACCCAGTGGTTCCAGTGGCCTGCTGGATCTTTGCAGAATGTGGCAGCAAAAGGTATTTTAACCGAAGTAGTTCTACCTGAGCATGAATGACTAGGGCTTCAACCCTGGGAAAGGAAACGGTAACTACTTTATAAGAGTAGTCCATGGGGGTGATAGGAAGATGCCATTTCCAGGTTAAAAAAAAAAGTTCCCTCTTGCTGTTAATGCCTCACATTATGCCTTAGAGAAGAGAGAATAAAGATTGTTTATCCTTATTAACATAGGCAATGCCAAGTAAGAACAGAGTCAGTCCATGGGTGAACAACTATAATAGAGAAGCCAAAAGAGTCTTTCCTCAACTTTTTTTTTTTCCTCCCTAGAACCTGTTGGCTTCTCACAAACACAGACTGTCCTACACACCATCTTTGCATTCCAGTTTTTGCATGCGGTAAGTATTGAATCACTTGTCATGCAGAAATTAGCTGACATGGGAAATGAAAAGAATGAGGTAGCTCTCTGTCCTGACCAAGAAAGATCTGATGAAAAAGACTAATGCAGTACTTGTAGAGTATGATAAACTTTATGCTGAAAACAGACACAAACACCATAGAGTAAAACCTCAATATAACAGACTATTTTAGGCAAGGGCGTGTCTATTAAGGCTGACGTCCATTATATAATAAAGTAGGTTTTCCGAATACCTGTTAAGAATTTGACAAATTAGTTAGTTTACATGTTTTTACTTATGTAGACATGTTTAATAAAATTAAGTATGTTTGAAAAGTTTACAGAAAAGTTTTTTACCTGTATTACTGTAATTTTAAATTTATACTGAATAGGTCTAGTAAATGCGTGCATTCACCAGTCACCATGAGTGAACAAATGCACATGGCTGGGGCTAGGCTTAGAGCATGTGGGAACATCGATGGGCACGCATTAAAAATGCTGCAGAAAGTCATGCCACACGACAACAAAACCAATTACCTTTCGAGATGAAGTGTGATCATGTATTAATCATTCACCGAATACTGTTTACGAGCAGTGACTCTTGGATTGAAATATGTATACTATAGTTGTAGACATGTAATATTTATTTATGTCAGTGAAATTACCACAATGTTTTTTCCAACATATAGCCTACTCGCTAAAATTTGCTAAAAGTAACAGTGAATTAATAACAAAAAAATAACCTGTTAATTTAATTATAAGCAAATCTTGGTTAAAAGCATTTTAAAATTAACATGGTGTTACTTTTCACATATGATATACAGACTAGAAATTCTGTCCATTAAATTCAAAGTCCATTAAATCAAGATCTGCAAAATCGAGTTTACTATATTTTTTACAGGTGTGTGTGTGTGTGTGTGTGTGTGAGAGAGAGAGAGAGAGAGAGAGAGAGAGAGAGAGAGAGAGAGAGAACACAGGAGAGGACAGGTATTACCTCTCCTGAGTAGTGGACAGAGGCCAGGCATAGATTCCAGAGAAATTTTACCTTAGATCTGTAGTGTGTGAAATTTTTTTTCAAGAGTATACATATATATTATTTGTATTTATATACATAAAAAATAATTCTGAAGCATTTTTAAAAGAATATTTTCTAAGAAGGGGGGGGGAATGAAACTAAGTAGACAAGGGGTTGGGTCGGGGTCAGGCTAGGCCCTATCACAGGGAACATGCTTTAGGGGTGCAACAGCCTTAGGATCTTCGAGTTACTCTCAAAATGATCTTGGTCCCTTTAGAGACATCTCCTACTGGGTGGCTCAGGAAGGGGTAGACAGAAAAGCAAGGCCATCACCTTCTTGACTTGGTTGCTTAGCAGCAGTCTTTAGGAAACCAAGAAGGGCATTCTGATAGTGAAGAGAAAAACTGGAGGACAACTCAGATATACACCCTATATTTGAAAGAAGAGGTGGAGGAAACATCAGTGAGGGTGAAAACGATTCAGGAAGGGAATGCAGATGGAAAGCCCGAGGTTAGGGATCTATGCTGCAACTGATGGTCTTCAGAGAACCCTAGGTGTCATTTCCTCTGCACAATCTACTGTGTTAACCGTTATCCTATCTAATAAAAGAGAAACATGGTAATTAGCGTACAACCGCTACCCTTCCCATTGGCAAATCAGGGCGATATGCAAATTAACTGCCAGTCAAGATGGCGGCTGGCAGCCAGGCAGCTGGAAGAGAACATGAGGCTTGCTTGCTTCAGTGAAGGAGGACTCCAACGTTCCCCGCCTGCCTTGCCGGCCTCTCAGCTGGCAGTTTGAAACATTGTAACAAATATAGAAGCTAAACAAAACCCCACAAACCAGCTTTCAGCCGGCCGGGATCTCAGAGCTGGAGATGATACAGTGTTTCGATTATAGAACCGAAACAAACCAGATACCTGCTTTCAGCAGCAGAGGCCTTGGCCCAGAATAAAAACAAAAAGAAAAAAAGGAGTGGTTGGGAGCTTCAGTCACCCACCAGCCTGAAAACAGCCCTCAGCCCCTCACCCAGACTGGCCAGGCACCCCAGTGGGGACCCCCACCCTGAAGGGTGTGTGACCAGCTGCAAACAGCCATCATCCCCTCATCCAGGCTGGCCAGGCACCCCAGTGGGGACCCCCAC